TCAGGAGGCCAGTTTAATGCCTCATCTGCAGGATGTTCCTTTTCACAGTCTAAAGTGTGCGTCATTACACTAGAACTTTTGCACCCATTCAAGTCAGGGAATGAGCACCCCCTGCTGGCTGGACAAAAACTAGCTGCAGCAGCAAGCTACATTTTCACAAATGGTCTCCCACCAGTGTACTGACCAGGATCTGGTCTGCTTAGCATTAGTGAGGAACCAGACTCTGCCTAATGCATGCCACAGCTGCATTCGTATCCTCTGCCTTAACACATGCAGGCATCACACAGTAAAACATTCACTAAGACTACTTGCCATGTTCACAACAAAATTATCAAATCATATGAATTAAACAATGAAAGGCATAATTACAGTATTCAGCATAAATGAGTTAACCCCCTCTGAAAGTTAACAAATTCAGCAATTACTCTTTACTTAGAAGACATCTTAGGGTTGTTTGGCAATATAATATTCCGTTAACAAGTCTGCTTGATTAATTAACAAAAAAGCATGCCAAACTTATTCAGGAAAATAAGATTTGAGGACATGCTATTACACATTTATAGAACTGAATCAAGCGTGTGTTCATATTTGCAACCATTCGTTTAAACAAAATTGGCTAATTTACTTATTTTACAGATATTCATTACATATTTTCTCTGTTTTTATAAAGTATATGTTTATTGAATATCAATTTTGCCATCTTTCCATGAATTGTATTAGTGATCATTAAGGGGAAAAACATTTTTGTTTAGAGGTGGTGTACTTATTTATGTTGAGTACTGTATGTGTTTTTTGCAGCTAACAAATATTTCAATCATTGAGTGGGGAAAAAAACAATAGTGCTAATATACAAGCACGGTAGCAAATACTTGTATATTAACTGTACATAAACTTCTATATTACTGTAGAAAGAAGCAAAAGCACACAGACTTCTCTCTTGCTGTTCTGTTACTATTCCTTTTCTACTATTCTGGTTAAAATGTAATAAAATAAGAAATGTAATTGTGCTTAAGTATTTGTTTTATGCTTGACACAATAAAGAAAGGTGACATTGTTCATACACATTGTGTTTACCACTGTGTTTTAGCCTGTATCAAATGACCGAGTAGTTACACTGGCTTGTGTTGAGTTTTGGATTTCAAATAATCTGTTACTAGGGCAAGATTTGAAAAGTACCTATTCATTAATCCTTAAATCTAATTTACTGTATCTTTTTTAATTTACTAGTAGCCTATACTTTTTATATAGTAGTAGTTTTGTTGTTGTTATTGTTGTTTTACCTTTTTACCATTTGTAAATCTCATTATTAAGAATCTAATTTAACTATAGAATAAAGTTGTCTTTCTGACTAGCTATTTCATATGACAAGTAAAAATGCCTATTGTAAATTGAGATAAGAAATGTTACTGTAACCACCTGCATAGTGTTTCACAAACAAGTGTTGTATCTGATAAATAAGTTGGGTACTAGTAAAACTGGAATAGACTCAGTACTGGACAACTTAACTAGTAATTAAAACAAATAAGTAGGCTACTAGTAACATCAAAAAGTCACTAGTAGTTGGTCTAAAAGAATATATGAATATAACAACTTGCTGTAGAATGTGCAATCGCTCACCTATTTTGGCAAAGGACGCAAGTAGCACCCATAAAGTAATCTCAAACGGGATCTGAATGCGGGGGTAGTTCAGTGTAAATACTGCTTTGGTGGTTTCACCTGGGTTGGGGTCAGGACCAGTCTCCTCCATCGGGCTCCAAGGGGGAAGTTTAGATGGAGAAGTAGGAGTCGGTTTAAAAGGAACATCGGCGTTTGCTCCGTATCCAAGATATGCAAAAAATTACGCACAAAATGAAAAAGTTGAAAAGCATCCTCTCATTAAAATTAAGCACCATATTTTCTCAAAATACATACATATGCCAGAAGCTGACATATAAAAAGTACACTGTAAAAAAATATTGTGATTTTAACAGTAAAAGACTGTAAAAATGCTACAGTAAAAACCTGTTAACTGGTTAACAGTAAGTTTCCATACTATATTCGGTGAATGAATGTAATTACATTTAATGTAATTTTACAGTAAAATACTGTTAAAAATACGGTTTTTGGAAGTAAAAAGAAAAAGTCGTATAATTTACAGTGACAAACCGTAAACTGACACTCCCAGAATTCCTTGCATGACACTTCATATTTGATGTTTTTTGTTGTTGAAATAACATGTCTTAGTTTTTTCTTATCAGTTGTGTACATT